AAAGGCTTCGGCTCTGGCTCACTTCCCAGCCCGCCGCTCCTCCTGGCGCTTGGTGAGGATGTATTTGAAGAACTCGTACACAGACCAGGCAATCGCCGTCGAGGGCATCTGATAAATGACTCTAGCCTGGACCCCTCTGAAGTAGGCAGTCACACCGCCCACTTGGTACACCGTCCTGAAGGCATTGGCCATGCCTGTGATGTGTCCGCTGATGTTGGAGCTCAAAGCCAGGGACTCCTGGGTGTTGAGCAACGTTTTGCAAACGTCCAAAGGGGTAGTGGCAGCAGCAGCGACAGCCCCCGCGCAGGCCCCGGAGACCATGTGGGAGCTTGGGTTGTACTGTCTGTGCGGGTTGAGCTGCTCCTGCAGGAACTCGTAGGTCATGAAGTGAATGGCTTGGAAGGGGATGTTCATGGTGAGCTGGGTGGTGTAGCTGCGGTAGAAAGCTCCAGCCCCTTCGTTGCGCCACACAGTCCGTACACAGTCCGTCACACGCTGGTAAGGCGAGTTGTACATCTGCATCCTCTGTTTGACCACTGCGGACGGACGGCGGCAGCAGCCAGGCCGCAGGCACGGAGAGGAACAGGAGAGAAAAAGGGTAAGTGCGGAGCCCGGCTTGCTGCGAACGCCCGGGATTGCAGCCACACGGCTGAGAGCTCTGACAGCAACATCCTGCATGTCCCCCGGTGGGGACCTGTGCCAGGCACCGCCGTCACACACAGCGTGACCATCACCTGCAACCGCTGCAGCCGCTACAGCCTGTCCTAGGAACATCCTCGCACCGAGGTCCAACCTGCCCATCTCCCCCACCCCGAGTGACCAACTTACCCCGTGCACCGCTGCAGCTCTACTCTGCAGCTAGGGAACCTCTCCTCTAGCTGCTCTGGCTTTGCCCAGGCAGAACCTCTAGACGAGTAGGAACCTGTGGCTCCAGAACGACTGGAGCGACAGCCCATGAGGACGCGGTACCGGCCAAGGAAACAGAGCCGAGCACCCGCCCGACCTGCCCCCTGCCCCGCAGGGCGCCCACGAGGAGCCAAGGCCAACGCGGCTGCAGCGAGTGCCGCGGCTGCCACAGGAAGAGCCGCTCCGGGGAAGGAGCCACAGGAGCGCGGCCAGAGCAGCCGCTCGCGCCTCGGTCACGGCCGCGCTGCGAGCGGCCCGGCGGCCTCGCTGGCTGCACAGGCCTCCACAGGCCTCAATGGCCCCCCCACAGCCTCGGCTTGGCACCCCCAACGAGGCAGTCAGGGAGCACGGAGCGGCTGCGCCAGCCCTGAGGCGCCCTGGGCAGCCGCAAGGCCCCGGGCAGCGCTGCCGCTATCGCGCTCGCCCCGGGGCTGCTCTCAGCCAGCACCACAGCTCGTTCCTCTCCTGCTGTCACACGCCTTCTGATGTTCAGGAAGCAACATAATGCCCCCCAAATGGGACTGATCTTTACTCAGCATTCCCCTCTCCTCCCACCATATGCGTAGGCTGTGATGATAGTCTCTGCCTTTTTCATACCAGGTTTAACAAAACCAGCCTTCTCCAGAAGCTCCACGAGACAAGATCTCCCTTCTCCCAAGCTCTCTACCATGCCTTTTGCATCTCATCGTTTCTTTTCCTCCCCAAACACAGAAGGGCAGCTCACATCACACATCTTCCAGCCATCTCACCACAACAATGTCCAGTCTCCTGCCATTCCCCTGGAACGGCTTCCTCATCAGTGAGGATCGCGTCTCTCTTTTGCTTCCTCTGCTGCTCCAACAAACAACACAAAACACGGGGCACAGGGCTGCTTCTCTCCTTGCTCCTAGGCTGGGACTAGCCAGTTTTCCAAGAACAAATTGCTTCTACCTACCCTGCTCCGTAACTAGCAGCTCCCTAAACGGAGCTGCCGGCACTAGTGTCTGCTGGATCCTTGCGGTCAGGAGAGCAGCGAGGAAAGTCCCCCCCGGTGCCACAGAGAGGAGCGGAGCCGCCCGGGCAGCTCCCACTCCCAGACCCTCCGGGGAGGACAGGATCATCGTTACCTTCTGCAGGGTTCATGGCCGCGTCGTGGAGCAGCGTTGCTACACACCCGGCTGCACCTGCAAAACAAGAACTGCCGCATGTGAGGGCAGGAGGAGGCGAGAGACCCCGGGGCTCCACCGCCAGCCCGGGGCCCCCGCCAGAGCAAAGGAGGAGCCCCCCGGGAAAGGGCGAGATGCAGAGGCGGCCTCCCTCTCCTGTCCGTGCGGAGGGCCCGTCCTCAGCAGCTCCCACCCCGAAAGAGTTCAGCGAGGAGAGCGAGGACAGCAGCTCTGCCAGGCCCCGGGCCAGCTGGGACTCTGTCCCTTGGGAGAGTGACACGGACTCACAGGGATCCCACAGGACAGCGAGTGTCACTGCACCCCCTGCACGGCAATGAGGAGGAGGAAGGGGCCGGGCCCTTACACGTGCCCTGGCAGGCCGTGCCCCGCTCCACGCAGCGGCTCCCGGGCGCACGAGTCACCGGGGCAGCGAGGCCTCCGGAAGCAGCCGAGCGGGCGGCCCCGCGGCCGCGGGAGCTGCCCCCAACCTGCTCCTCGCCACAGACCGGGGCGGGCAGCGCCGCGGGCTGCACGCGCGGGCGGCCCCGCCGGCGGCTTTAACGCCCGGAGGCCGAGC